AAGATTCAGGAAATGCGCCCCGTGGTGAACGAGTGCGGGATTGACACGAGAGCATTTGCAATGGCGACTGGGTGGACTAGCTGGAGCTCCCGTGGTCACCATAAAGCTGGAGTGGCGTTTTCCTGTGAGGGCCTCCAATGAAGTGTGTGCGTGTGTGTGTGTGTGTGTGGGGGGGGGGGTCCGTGGGTCCTCGTTCAGAAAATTTGGAATTTTCATTCTTTCAACCTTCATTTAGACACGTTAATCCTATTGAGCCTCGGGGACTCATTTACAAGAGAGACCTGATATATTAACAAAGAGTGATGACAACAGTGAGTAACAACGACAACAATAGACAATCATAAAAGAGGCATACAGATTTTTTTCCCCCCAAATAAAGAGTATGCCATTTCTTTTGTATTGTGGTACAGCTTATATTAAACAAGCTCGCCTCAGACCAACTGGACTGGTGGCCATTTTGCCTCTCTAGTCTATAAAAAGTATTCACACTCTTGGATGTCTTTGTGCTCTTATTGCCATCATAGATCAGTCATGGCAAATATATTTGGCCTTTTAGACAAAAAAAATTGTCGAAAAACATTACTTAGTGTCAAAGTTAAATCAAATTTCTACAAGTTATACGCACTGAATGAAAATATGCGACGTAAAATAAAGAAAATAAGTGACTGATTCACCCTGTTTGACGTCTTATTTGGCTGTTCACTCTTCAGGGGTCGCTGGAGTGAGTCACCCTCCTTTTTCTCACTCTGTCCTCACACCAACTACCCCCCATGTCTGGTCTAACTGCATCCATATACGTACTCTTTGTCTTTAAAGATGTGCAACTGTATTCTCACAGTTGCGCATCTACATCAATTCCTTACCAACCATAAATTTATCAGATTAGAAGCTCGATGTTTTGCCAATACCTTAAAAATTATATTGTAAGAATATTGACTGCCAACTCATTCAATACAATTCAATTCAGTTTATTTCTATAGCGCCAAATCACAACAAAGTTGTCTCAGGGCACTTTACAGAAACATTCACATAAAAGCCAATTAGTAAAGTTCTCTATCTAAGGAATCCAGCAGACAAGTTGAATCTTGTCTTCGTTGTAGTCTCCCATCCTGAGCAAACACAGTGAAGACAGTGGAACGAAAAACTCCCTTTAACAGGAAGAAACCTCCAGCAGAACCAGCTCAGGACAAGAGACCATCTGCTTTGACTGGCTGGTTTGAGAGGACAGGAAGGAGAGACAGAAGAACATAGAATGGTAGGTCCAGGTATAGGTCCAGGTCCAGGTATAGGTTCAGGTCCAGATATAGGTCCAGGTGTATCTGAAAGATAAAAAACACATGTTAAGGATAGAAAAAAAATTACAAATACAAAACAGGTTGAGCAGAGTAAGTAAAGACAGTAGCAGAGTGAAAATTGTGGTCAGTTTGTCCTCCAGCAGTCTAAGCCTATAGCAGCATAACTAAGGGACAGCTCAGGAAACCCAAGCCAACCCTAACTATAGGATTTAGCAAAAAGGAAAGTCTTAACCCTAGTTTTAAAACTGGACAATGTGTCAGCCTCACGGACAGAGATTGGAAGTTGGTTCCACAAGAGATGAGCCTGATAACTGAAACATCTGCCTCCCATTGTTTTTGTAAATTCTAGGAACCATTAGTAAACCTGCAGTCTGAGAGCGAAGTGCTCTGTTAGGAAAATATGGAACAATAAGATCTGTAATATACAAACCGGATTCTAAAAATGTTGGGACACTAAACAAACTGTGAATAAAAACTGAATGCAATGATGTGGAGGTGCCAACATCTAATATTTTATTC